TAAAAATGTTTTTCGATTTCTCATTATGTTTTAGGGAACGCACCATTCTACCATTCCAATATTTTGAATTCCTAGCAATCCATTGTGTCATTGCATGGAGCCCCATCCGTTGGGTGCTGCAACGATATCATGGTGTACGTCAAAGCTTACAGTTTCTTCTAACACACACTTATTTTCCTTTAATTAGTTTGGGAACTTAAATAATATAGGAACACAGAATTGTAGATTTTCATTTTGGACTGTTTTTAATGCATAAACACAACACACTTTGAACTTACAGAAATGCTGGAGAAAATAAGAAAGGGATAAAATATTCAACGATTACTGTTTTTATTTTGGGTTGTGTGTAAGGTAAAAATATCAGTGATTGAGTTTTTAAAACGGTTACAGAATAGAATATGATCCAACATTTGCAATTGGTTATCTTAGCAGAGGTTAAATGTATTGACAAGCATTGCATGACGTGTCCACCATTAATGTATAGAAAGCATTTGATGTTAAAGGAATACTCCAATGTCTTAACAATTTAGTAAATATACCCCCAATGATAACATGAGTATGTTTAATTATGCTTTTTATTATTGGGGGTATATTTTAAAACCACTTCCAGAAGCTGCAGATCTTCAGCAAGATAACGTACTTTAAGAATCTGGATAGTCCTTTTACTCACATGTCAAGCTTTACACATTAACCCTTCCTTTAAATCTGCCATCATTTAATAAATATATATATTCCATATAGGCTTTACATTCTACTTGATGGTAGAACTAAGGTAGCTATATATATATATATATATATAACAAATACATGCTGTGTATGGTGGGGATAAAACTATTCTTCGATTTCTTCTCTAAGTCAGTGCTTCTGAGATTGGAGAATTTTTACTGTATAAAAATTATGATGGACTTGATAATGAATGCGTTAATTCCTGTAAAGTAATTGGTAAGGTACATCATTATGCTCTCATATGGACGATCTGGCAGCTGGAATTGTTCAGTTAGCAAGGCTAAACCAAAGTAAAGTGATCTTGTCATGTTTGAAAATTGTCTGAGAAATTTTAGGTGACTTACTAATAACAATTTAAAGAATTAAAATGTAATTTATAACAAGAACAATGTATCTTATTTACACAGCCTGATTTCTAAACACATTTGTTGTAGTTTAAAGCTCTGTTATGCACATTACTGGGAGTATTATTGCTGTGGAGCTCTGTTATACACTCAGACACATTACTGGGAGTATTATTGCTGTGGAGCTCTGTTATACACTCAGACACATTACATTACTGTGGAGCTCTGTTATACACTCAGACACATTACTGTTATATTCAGACACATTACTGGGAGTGCTTGCTCTGTTATACACTCAGACACATTACTGGGAGTATTATTGCTGTGGAGCTCTGTTATACACTCAGACACATTACTGGGAGTATTATTGCTGTGGAGCTCTGTTATACACTCAGACACATTACTGGGAGTATTATTGCTGTGGAGCTCTGTTATGCACTCAGACACATTACTGGGCGTATTATTGCTGTGGAACCATTATACACACACACACATTACTGGGAGTATTATTGCTGTGGAGCTCTGTTATACACTCAGTCACATTACTGGGAGTATTATTGCTGTGGAACCGTTATACACTCAGACACATTACTGGGAGTATTATTGCTGTGGAGCGCTGTTATACACTCAGACACACTAAGAGGGCCGGACTGGGGATACAAAGCAGCCCTGGAAAAAAAATCTATGCCAGCCCCATAAATCATTGTGCCATATATTGTCACATGTAATATGTAAGTGATAAAATGCGTAAGTAATACAATGTGAGCAGGATATTGCTTTGCTACAGAGGGATTTGGATAGATTGGGGGACTGGGCACTATAATGGCAGATGAAATTTAACGTAGAGAAATGCAAAGTTATGCACTTTGGGGTCAAGAATGCAGAAGCAATTTACACCCTAAATGGTAGTGAATTAGGGATAACCACACACGAGAAGGATTTGGGAATTGTTATAGACAACAAATTAGGCAGCAATATGCAATGTCAATCTGCAGTTGCTAAGGCCAGTAAGGTTTTATCATGTATCGATAGGGGCAGAAATTCTCGGGATGAAAATATAATTTTGCCTCTTTATAAATCGCTGGTAAGACCACACCTTAAATATGCAATTTGGGGCATCTGTTCTAAAGAAGAATATCATGGCACTAGAAAAAGTGCAGAGACGAGCTACAAAATTTATAAAAGGAATGCAGCATTTTAGTTACGAAGAAAAATGAAAATATTTAAATCTCTTTAGTTTGGAAAAATGGCGCATCAGAGGGGATATGATAACATTATACAAATATATTCAGGGCTAGTACAAACCATTATCTGGAAATCTATTCATAAACGGGGCTATACATAGAATGCAAGGTCATACATTTAGGCTGGAAGAAAGGAAATTTCATCTAAGGCAAAGAAAAGGTTTTTTTACAGTAAGAGCAATAAGGATATGGAATTCTCTGCCTGAAGAGGTGGTTTTATCAGAGTCCATACAGATGTTTAAACTGCAATTGGATAAATACTGGCAAAAACATAACATACAGGGATATAATTTCTAATTAGTGGGGTAATAGCTGCTTGATCCAAGGAGACATCTGACTGCTATTTTGGGGTTAAGAAGGATTTTTTCCTAGTTTGTTGCAAAATTGGAAGCGCTTCAGACTAGTTTTTTTGCCTTCTTTTGGATCAACGACAAAAACATATGTGAGGAAGGCTGAACTTGATGGACGCAAGTCTCTTTTCAGCTATGTAACTATGTAAGGCTATGTCTTGCCACCCCAGATGACTGAGTAATATATAAAACACACATATATATATATATATATAGAGAGAGAGAGAGAGTATATATTTCTTTTTCTAAAATAAAATTTTGGTCCTTTCAGATTTTAATTATACAGTAAGCATACTCACATGCAGACACAGACAGACAATCTCACTGACACTCACAAGCTCATTGATACACAGCCTCATAGACAAACAATCTCACTGATATACATAAGCTCATTGACATAAAAACACAAGCTCACAGATGCACACACATAGACTCACTGACAGACAATCTCACTGACACACACATGCTCCCTACAGAAAAGCTTGTTGACACGCATGCTCCCTACAGAAAAGCTCACTGGCACAAACGTTCCCCACAGAAAAGCTTTCTGACACACATGCTCACCACAATCAAGCTCACTGACACACACACAAGCTTACTCACTAGCAGGCACACACATACAAGCTCACTCACTAGCAGGCACACACACACACACAAGCTCACTCACTAGCAGGCACACACACACACACACACACACACAAACAAGCTCACTCATTAGGAGGCACACATACACACAAGCTCTCTCACTAGCAGGCGCACACACACACACACAAGCTCACTCACTAGGAGGTACACACACGCTCTCTCTAGCAGCCACTCACACAAAAGCTCACTCACTAGCAGGCGCACACACACACACACAAGCTCACTCACTAGCAAACAGACACACACACAAGCTCACTCACTAGCAGGCACACACACACACAAGCTCACTCACTAGCATGCACACACACAAGCTCACTCACTAGCATCTTGTGATTATGAGCAGTTCGTAATAAACATGGTCTAGATATTCTGTGGCCACCCTTTACTTTTCCCTGCGAACGAGTCATTGGCACAATTCAACATGTGCAATTGGTTTCGGTCCGAATTTAAATTCGGACAAATTTCGGTAATTCGGACATTCTGATGCTTCCAAATGTCCGAAGTGCCGAACCGAATTGCTGAAGTGCCAAATTGTGAAAATGCCGAAGTGCTTTGGATTTCTGAAAAGTGGCAAAGCAGAAGAGGGAGGGAAAATTAAGGGAATGATGACAGGAATCCAACCCTAACTCCAACCCTAGTCCTACCCCTACTAGGGTTGAAGTTGGGGGTAGGGTTAGGCTTAGGGACATGCCGAAGTCCCGAATTTCAGATTGCCGAATCGAAGTGCCGAATTTCGGAAGTGCCGAACTGAACCAAATTTTTTGCCCATGCACATCCCTAGACAGAATGCCACTACTACAATGGAACAGATATGATGATATGCTTCTAAAACCTCGCTTTAGAGGGACCTGTTTATATATGCGGTGGAGAACCCCAGGCTTCATCAAACTTTTCCAAAACAATCTGACAGAATTCATGAGCGGTATGCACCGATTAGAAGAGCTATAACCAATGACACACGTACACACACATAAGCTCTCTCACTAGCAGGCACACACACACACACAAGCTCTCTCACTAGCAGGCACACACACACACACAAGCTCTCTCACTAGCAGGCGCACACACACACACACAAGCTCTCTCACTAGCAGGCACACACACACAATTACTGTTATGGCTGAAGCTTGCCTGACACTGGTAGGGGGAGTTGCCATTTTGTTACCTCTTCCTTTCAGCGAGGTCAGCAACGTGTGTGGGGGCGGGGCTTGCATATGGGAGGTGGAGCTTCCATTTAAGAGGTGGGGCTTACATGCAGGGCAGGGCAGGGCATGCGGCAGAAATTGATATAAATTTTGAAGGGAGACTGGCAGGTCTCACTGCGGCCGCCAGCAGCCTAATTGCAGCCGAACCAGCAATCAGCTTTTCCCTCTTTACTCCCCTCAGACTAACACAGGCTGGCACAGTCTGAGGGGAAATACTTAAAAGAGCGTAGGATGATGATCAGGGCTGTCAACCCGGCCCCAGGTGCCACAGGCCACCGGGAATTTCCCGGTATCCTGGTGGGCCAGTCTGGCCCTGCACACTAACAATATGGAGCTCCTAGAAAAGAGGGACATTCGAATATAAAACAGGGATTAGCCCTTGAGGATCTGTCTGTGTTTCAATGTGGATTCAGAATTAATCACGATGTCTAAAGCCCAGGTGCCAGTTACTGATATAAAACCAAGAAGAGATCCTGTAATGTCGGCAGCCAATCAAATGTGATTTTCAGCTAACTTCCCAGCATTCCTCAGGGCAGAAAATTGTTCCTTGAATTCTGTGATGATGGTCAGTGCCCAACATGGCCAGGCTTAGCGGGAAATCTTGTGTTCACAAAGTGCCTGAGTCAGTATATCTCAGTGTTTTAGAAAGTGAGACTGGATGTGGTTTGCGGAGAGGATGATATCCTAGGATTATCCATTATATAATATGATAAAGGGGTGCATAGGGCCCTCTATGATACAGTGCCGTGTATAACTTTTACCCACAGATCCTGCGACACTGAGTTACGTTAAAGGGTCAGTCTGAACAGCAAAGCATCAGCCTGACCCATCTCTAATTGCTGAGAGTGATATATTGCGGCAGCGATTTGTAAAATCCCACCAGGGCTGCCAATCAGGCATCCCCGAGCATTCAGTTTCTTTCTCAATTTTGTATCAATATTATTATACACACTAAATGACTTCTCTTCCCTGGAGAGAGCTGGGTCATGGACTGCACATCTACGGTCTGCGTCTCTGACAATAGCGAAAGAGAGTGACTCACAGTTAACTGAACTGTATAAACTGATAGCAACCATAGTATGGATGCTTTGAGTTTAAAATGCCTTCCAATCATCCTATGTGATTATATTGCTGGTGGAGAATAAACTACTCATATTGCTAAACAGGGGTATATGAGATGTGGTCAGTACCCACAGAGCACAATGAGATGTTCCTGATTGGAGTGTCTTTGCCTGACACATGAACACAGGTGTACACGCTTGTAGTTACTGCGTTAACCTGTGACTCCTAGTAACCTATAAGAATAGGGTGCAAAGAATGTGGGCATTGTCCCTGATAAGGAGACCCAAATCAAGCAGTCTGATAGGACTGAGTATTTTTACTTTTTGTTAATGCAAGGAATCCATACTCAGATCCATGCGCGGCCTTACTCAACCAGCCCAAACACACTTTTTACAATTATAAAGTTCTACATAAATATTCATCAGCTGGTGCAAAGATTTTTGGAGTTCGTACCCTTAAAGATTGGGCATGAAACTGCTTGGCTAAAAAACTGTTTAAATAAGAACGAGGGATGGCAAAGGATGCCACATCAGCAACAGGAATGTGCGAAAGGTTTAACACCCTTTTCAACTCTTTTACACAAAAACAAAGGCTTATGCATTAAATGTGTCTATTCCGAAAAGTGGTGCAAAGATGAAAATGGAGTGGAATTATAAAATGCAATGTGCTGCTGGTTTCCATGGCAACTGCCCCACTTAGTATTTTAGAATACAACATATTTTATACATAACCCACATTGTCCTTCGGTTAAAATCTGTGCTTTTAGACATGGCAAATGATGGGTCAGTTGGTTTTATCAGCTACAAAACTATATATAGATTTAAATGATTTGTCGATCAAAGCAGGACTCAGTCATGTAATGCCGGCTGTGGAATGTATGTCATGTTATACAACCATAACAACCGTTAACCCAACATTATCCAGTGCAAATTGTATTCAATCAGTCTCATTTGCCATTGCTCATTAACCCCAACACTTTATATTTGTAATATCTTATTTGTGAATAGAAATTGCTTTGTATATTTACATTTATTACTCTAATATATATTATATTTTTTTATTCCTATCTTTAACCATGATTTTCTGAAAAGGCTTTAGAAACCACTTTGGCACTCTGGGAAGATGGCGGACAGATTGCCTGGTAGGGCTGGAGGCTGTTGCTTCAGTGCTTCTTACTGAGGTGACCGTAAAGAGAAACCTCCTTTTGAAGAGTTTTATGTATTTTTCGTGTGTTTCTGTTTCCTTCGGCGCATGGAGAGCAGGTGTTTGGTAGAGCAAGGTCACAGGGAGGTGATGCATTTAGTGGAACAAGAATCAGCAGAGCGACCTGTTATAGTAATACCCTAAGCAACGCGAGAAGAGAGACAGGAGGTGAGGGGTTTGGAGGTAAATGTCAAATTGCTCACAAGGAGGAGTGTTTGAGGAAAGATCCTACAAAGCCTAGAATATAGTTCAGAAAGTCGGAGTTTGGTTCTATAGGTATAATAGTTAAATAATCTAATAATGAATTTATTCTGGTTAACAAAAGCCACGAACCTCTGTTCAGGCAGACTCGGAAAATAATAATTGTGACGAAGTGCCCTTCGCCACTTGTGCCTGGAGAGGACTGTTTGCCCGCCTCTTGCCCTGTGACTATGGCCCCTGGGATACCTACACTCTGGGGATTGCTATAATCACTTACTCCCCAGAGGAAGCTCTTGCAATAGCTTGATTTGTTCCTGTTCCTGCTCTCAGGGGAAAGAGAGGTTCACCCACTGGAAGCTGGATCCTGGCCTTGGGTCCAGGGTGGGTGGAAACAGCAGAGACCCCGGCGCAGTTGCATCGCTGGAAGTGGGGTCTGCAGTGCTGATGGTGTCGGTTGGAGTGCTTGGAGTCCTCAGCGAGCACTAGGAGCATCGATTGGCGGAGGTACTCAGTCGGAGTGCCAGCGTTCCGTCACATTTGGTGGCAGCGGTGGGATGGCGTCCTAGTGCGAGGACCAGCAGCTCGGAGACACCGGTAACGTGTGGAGTTACGGATTTATAATTGAGGGCAACGCTAGCCTCTGCGCAGCGTCCCTACCTACAGCAACATGGAGCTAGCAAGACCCTGGACAGCAGCCAGTGAATTGCAAATCCGCCTGTCACAGTGCTATGAGGGTGCTGATTTCATGAAGGAAGTAAAGGCGCGGCTGGTCTGGTTTGGCCCAAACCCTTCAGATGAGGTGGTCCATCAAGTGATGCGCATGTTGAGTGCTGAGAACCAAGACGCACGGAACTTCGAGTACCAACTGTGGAGTTTGGGGGTATTGACACCCCGTCTCCAGCGACAGAGTGAGTTACAGGGAGAGGAGAGCAGCGACCTCCCATCCCAGCGGCAGTGCACTGTACAGAGGGAAGAGACAACCGGTCTCTCTCCCCAGCGGCGGCCTGAGTTCCAGGAGGAGGTGATGGTAGATCCCTCCCCCGTACAGCAACCAGCGTCCTGGGGAGGGGAGGCAACCGGCCTCCCTCTCCAACAGCAGCCGGAGGTGGGCGACCTCATAGACTTGTCCTGGGGACACACAGAGATGGCAAGCGGAGATGGGACCGAAGTCTCTCTGCCGGCCCTACAGGGATGCTGGGCAGTCAGCCCAGGTCCCCAGCGGCAGCATAATATACAGGGAGAGGAGACAACTGGTCTCTCTCCCCAGCGGCGGCCTGAGTTCCAGGAGGAGGTGATGGTCGATCCCTCCACCTTACAGCAACCAGCGTCCTGGGGAGTGGGGGCAACCAGCCTCCCCCTCCAACAGCAGCCAGAGATACCGGGAGAGAGGGAAGACAAACCTAACCACACTGGCGCAGATGGGACCGCGGTCTCTGTGCCAGTCCTACAGGGAGGCTGGACGGGCGGTCCAGATCCCCAACCAACCCCGCAGGGATGCCAGGAGGAGGAGGTAAGCAAAACTTCCCCTCCCCAGTACCTGTTTAGTCTTCCCCCCAAAGGGAAGATGTGTGACGAAGTGCCCTTCACCACTTGTGCCTGGAGAGGACTGCTTGCCCGCCTCTTGCCCTGTGACTATGGCCCCTGGGATACCTACACTCTGGGGATTGCTATAATCACTTACTCCCCAGAGGAAGCTCTTGCAATAGCTTGATTTGTTCCTGTTCCTGCTCTCTGGGGAAAGAGAGGTTCACCCACTGGAAGCTGGATCCTGGCCTTGGGTCCAGGGTGGGTGGAAACAGCAGAGACCCCGGCGCAGTTGCATCGCTGGAAGTGGGGTCTGCAGTGCTGATGGTGTCGGTTGGAGTGCTTGGAGTCCTCAGCGAGCACTAGGAGCATCGATTGGCGGAGGTACTCAGTCGGAGTGCCAGCGTTCCGTCACAATAATAAAACCATGAAGTTCTACCTTCAGCTTCTCTGCCTGTAGAAATGTCCTGGCACAAGGTACACAGACTTTATTGATGTCTTCCACGCACAAACAGAACAGTAAGCAGTCGTTACATGTGTGTGATGTCATGAGTGCCCGACTTTACTGGCTCACATTTTTTAAAATAGTTTTTGCACATTTTCTGAATGCATTATCTACATTACGCTGTAAAATTGGGAGATTCCCAACTTGAAGAGTGCCTTTAAAGCAAGTAACATTATAACACGTTTGAAATATTGCTGAATTAAAATGTGCATTGCTGGAGGATAAATAAAAAATATAATAGCACGTGTTTATAAAATATATGTCAAAGGGATTGTCTATTAAATATTAACCTTTATTGTTACATACTTTATAAACAATGCATTTTAAAAATATTGGCAAAAAATGAAAAAATGGTATTCACCTTTTCACATGTCCCTCGGAGAGTCCTCACACCAAGATAAGACTCTCTAATCAGGAGTCTCTCGTTCAGGGCTGTAGGCGCCTGTATTATCCCATAAACCCACATTTAGCAATGTATTATGGGATTTTATTATTATCAGTATTTATATAGTGCCAACATATCATATAGCATTTGTCAATTACAAAATGGGGATGTCTGACAACAAGTAGGTAACATACAAAATACAATTGACAGAGACAAGAAGAGACAGAACGCCCTGCTCAAATAATCTAACAATATAGGATCAGTAAGTACCACTCACAGAGTAATTACAGCCTCTTTATAGGATGATTGCAATTATGCAATAAACTGATTTCTGCTATTGGTTTATAGACGTTGCTTAGTGAATCAGGCTGTGTTTTAGTATTGGATGAGCCGCTCCGGGAGAGTGAAAGAGAGCAGTCCCTATAAGGCAAAACCAACACTGGCAAACTGTTACTGACAGGGTTATTTAGTAAAGAGAGAATTCATAGTGCATTCACATTTAAAGGGACACTATAGATACCAAAACAACTTTAACTTAATGAAGCAGTTTTGGTGTATCGATAATTGACCTGCAGTCTCACTGCTCAATTCTCTGCCATTTAGGAGTTAAATCATTTTGTTTATACAGACACAGATACACCTCCCTGCATGTGACTTACACAGCCTTCCTAAATATTTCCTGTAAAGTGAGATCTATTATTTAAATTTCACTTTAATTTAGCATTCCTTAGCAATTGTTCTGTTATCAACTTTCTAGAGGTGTGATTAGAGTTCAATTTACAGAACAGGCGATAAAAATATCTAAAGCAAGTTAAC